TCATTTACTGTAGCTAAAAGAAATGGGGACATAATAAAGTATGGACCTTTTGGAAAATGGGGCATTGAGGCTTTCAATGTGCGTGGAAATATCATTGGAATATATGGAGAATCAGGAGCGAACATAAATAAGATTGGTGCATACTATGTATCAGAACAACTTTAGCTGAACTGCTGTTATATCTAAATGCTACTACCGCAACTTGCTTCATTTTGCTAAATTGCTATTCATTAATTTTTAATTAAATGTTGCTATACACTTAATCAGTTGAGGGAGAAGTTTTCAATATTATATAAACAATAGTTTAAAGTTAGGATAGGAGGACTGTTCTATAAGTGCTAAGCAGGGAGCTGAGAGTACATTTCAACAATGTCTGGCATATACTTGGTACGAGCTGCTGGCCTTTTCAGCTTAAAAGTTGGAGTCAGTAGATCATTCTCAACAGAGAATGCAGTGGAAGTGAGTTCTATAGCTTTAGGCTGTATAAAAAGAACAGGAATACTGTAAAATGTACTTGAAAAAGTTACACTTACTATTTCCAAGGAACTCAGGCCATCTCTCTTCCCCACATTATATAAATCTTCAAATATGGCTTTCTTTACTTCCTGTAAATAATATAAAAATACAGTAGCATATTTCAATAATTTTGCAGTACTATACCTTCAAAAAATAAAAATTACTATAAAATAGCAAAATTTATTACTTCAAGTTACCTCATCAGTGCAGAGTTCTTCAAATGATTTGCCTCCTTTGTCATGTTCCCCTGCCCATTGCATCAGTACTTCTTCATCCGGTACTACAATAGCCACACAGCTGCTCCTCAGACTGTCTCCATATAGAAACATTTGAGCAATGAAAGGAGACCGACTGCAGACATTTTCAACTTTCTCTGGAGCAATATACAATCCCTTTAAGAAATAATAATAATTTGTAATAATGGAGAGCTTCTTTTACTTGTGAGAGTTTAAAAATGTGCTTGACTCTATCAGTTATCTTGAGTGTTCCATTAGGCAGCCATTTACCAATATCACCAGAATGAACCCAACCATCTTCATCAATCAATGCCTTCGTCTTCTCCTCTTCCTTAAAATACCCACTAGTGCAAGAAGGACCTTTAAAACATATCTCTCCTTCTCCATTTGATGCAAAGTAATTCAGATCAGGGACATCAACTACTTTAACTTTAGCTGATGGTACAGGAGGTCCAACATGCCCACAGGTGGTATCAGCAGGTAAGGACATTGTGCAACCAGAAGATGTTTCTGTTTGACCATAGCCTTCAACTATCTGTAATATAAATCATAATAAATAGTATAATAATAACAATAAAATAATTATTGTAAGATCTAGGAATAAATTTAGGAGACCAATCTAACTAAAATGGTAGATTTCAGGAGACATTAACCAAATATGAGAGACCAAAAGTCTCCTAAACTCCTTCTAGATCTAACAGTGAATTAGTAAAAGAGAACGAAGAATTAGAACGATGAAGAATGATGGAATTAGTAAAAGAGAATGAAGAGAGATGTTCAAGAATGTTTTACATAGCATCCGAAAGCCACTTGATAAAAGTAGACGACTCTCTCACTGATAGGAGCAGATCCTGTTATAATTAGCCTCACGTTTCCTCCAAGCAGTTTCTGTATGTTTCCAAACACGATATAGTCCCAAATTGAGTCCCGTCTTAGTATACCCCTAGAATAAAGCAAGTACAATGTACATGTACATAAAAATATTATGGTGTCTGTTGCAAAGCATGTTAAAAGGGGAAATGAAATCGCAAAAAATACAACCCATTTTTACTATCTCGTGACTCTCACCTTTTAACTTCAGATAGTTTACTTTTAAAGGCTGTATCAAAAAGCCACTTCTTTGTCTTGTTGGAGTTTACACCACTCAGCACCTTATGAATAATCATAAAATTAAGATGAGTATTAATCAGATTTACTTTATCATAAATCCTGTTCAGTAGGCGTGGTACTGATATGAATATGGTTGGTTTCAGAACTTGAATGTCGTTGACTAAGTTCTTAATGTCACCAAACATATAGCCCAGCTTTAATCCGTTCATAAATACAATAGCCTACAGTAAGAAAATGTTGCTTAATCGTAAAGATTTTATTATGATTTTCTAATGGACATGATCATAGCCCATGGTTTTTTCCAAAAAATGGCTCCGAAATCAACCCCAATTTTTATTACATTTTCTGATACATATTGATGTACTTATGCTACGTAGAAAGTTTGAGGTGATTCCGACTTCAATTTTTCAAGTTACGGCCATTTTAAAAAAGTAGCCAAAATCTGAAAAATACCCAAGGCTATAGCCCATGGTTTTTTCCAAAAAATGGCTCCGAAATCACCCCCAATTTTTATTACATTTTCTGATACATATTGATGTCCTTATGCTGTGTAGAAAGTTTGAGCTGATTCCGACTTCAATTTTTCAAGTTACGGCCATTTTAAAAAATGAGCCAAAATCTGAAAAATACCCAAGGCTATAGCCCATGGTTTTTTCCAAAAAATGGCTCCAAAATCACCCCCAATTTTTATTACATTTTCTGATACATATTGATGTCCTTATGCTGTGTAGAAAGTTTGAGCTGATTCCGACTTCAATTTTTCAAGTTACGGCCATTTTAAAAAAGTAGTCAAAATCTGAAAAATACCCAAGGCTATATATAGTCCATGGTTTTTTCCAAAAAATGGCTCCGAAATCACCCCTAATTTTTATTACATTTTCTGATACATATCGATGTCCTTATGCTGTGTAGAAAGTTTGAGCTGATTCCGACTTCAATTTTTCGAGTTACAGCCATTTTTAAAAAGTAGCCAAAATCTGAAAACACCCAAGGCTATAGCCCATGCTTTTTTCCAAAAAATGGCTAAAAATTTACCCCTAATTTTTATTACATTTTCTAATACATATTGATGTACTTATGCTGTGTAGAAAGTTTGAGCTGATTCCAACTTCAATTTTTCAAGTTACGGCTTAATTAATTCAAGTTAATTCACATGTGTGTATATTCATGTGCCATACCTGGACACACCTCTCCATCATGTGAGCCAATGGCAGAAATGATATATGACAATCACTAGGACTAAGAACAATTGACTCCTCCTATTAATAATAAATAATTATAATTATTATTATAATTATAATAAACACAACATCATACAATGTAGCTACAAAAATTTAGTTGAGAAAGTAAAAAAAAATGTCTGAGGTAAAAATTATGTAAAAAAAACTCTGTGTAAAAGTGCTCAAATTTTTGCTGCATATTAAAAATTTTCCGGCTATAAAAAGTATCATTACTTACTATATGCTTGCACATCCCAGAGACATTGGCTATCACGTTACCATGAGTCAGGATGACTCCTTTAGGCAGGCCTGTAGTACCACTAGTATAGCATATCGTAGTTATGTCATTTGGAGTAGGTAACTAATAAGTGTGAGTTATCGTAATAATAATTATTATCAAATTTTGATACTTTATCATTAAATTATTTTTATAATCTTACTACTGGCTCAGCTCTGTGTTCTTTCCCTTGTTCCTGTATCATTAATAATATCAATGAGAGAGAGAGAGAGAGGGTGTCATTAATGTACCTCCACTTCTTGAAAGGTGAACAGTTCCAGTCCGACATCAGCAGCTGCTTTCTTCTCATCTTCACTGACCTCTGACCCAATAGTGATGAGCTTCTTAAGACTTGGACAGTTAGATACCTGACTAATGAGACCAGACACTTTTGATGAGTGACAGACAATACACTCTATGGCAGCTATAAAGAGAGAGAGAGGGAGAAGTTTGAAGTGATACTGAAAGGTTCTTCAGTAAGTACCTTGATTAATGATGTGTGCCACAGCCTCTGGTCCAAGTGTATCATACAGTGCCACAACAATACGTGAATAAGCATGACAGCTTTGTTCAATAATCGTCCACTACATTAAAAACACACTAACAGATGCCATTGGTAATAGACAGAGACACACGGTCAATAGGTGAATGTGTCAATGAGTAAATGAATGAAGGAGTGTGCAGAATAGCAGACACTACAAAGATTAAGCCTACCATCCACTATTCAACTTTGCGGTTACTTTGATCTTATGGCAACTTTGTTCCCTAAAATAGAACCGAGTTCTATTTTAGGGAACAGTGTTGCCATAAGAACAAAATAACCACAAAGTTTCTTTCAACAAAGTTGAATAGTGGATGGTGGGCAGGATTAGACTCTCATTTTACTTCAATGCAATTTGATGAATATACTCCAAGAAATGTCTCTTGTCCTGCTGCTACACCAATTTTACTGAGACCGGATCCAAAGTTCATAAACCTTTCCTCTACCTAAAAGATCCCAATGATTATAATCGTACATTTATAAATATTATTATTTATTTACTTCTGAATATGTCAGCCATTGATAAGGTGAGGTTTTTGTCTCTCTCCATCCTAAGCAGTGGCCATCATCTAAAGATTGAAGAGTTAGTTAAAGGAGAAGATGGTTAAAAGGAGTGAGAAAGTTTAGATTCATTATTAAATTAAATAAATGTATACTCATGATAAAAATG